GCGCAAGCCACTGATGAGATTGATCGTCTCAGCTGAATCTACCCAGAATAAGGTCGCCGGGAGCCCGTACTAAAGTCTACAAAGCCACGAGCCTTGGCGCCCTTGAACTCTAACGAATCCGTCAACACACGAGATCACCAGTGACAGGTTGAGAATTCCAGAAGAAAGGAAAGAAAAAAACAGCCAAATCGTGAAGGTCGAAGTTAATTTTTGACTGGATCTCGGAACCTGGGTCTTCCACCCAAGCCTCCCGTCTTGTCTTTTCCCCTCCAAGGTTGCATTCAACCAACAACAGCTTCTTATTGGGCCGATCCCGAGTCCCGTCTCCTTGGCCATGGACGAACACCCTCCCAACAATGGGACCCCGAGACCAAAGATCCCAGGCGATCAGCCTGTTCCTCTTGGCCAGTCTCAGTGGCCTACAGGGCGTTTTGAGGGCGTCCGTGGGCGGTTCGAGTCAGCTGTAGCCACCTGAGCCAGGCTCCTGGGCCTAGGGAATTAAGCCACCGCCCTCGTTATTCACTTCATTCATTATTATCCCTGTTCTTGTCTGTGCCCACGGAGGTTCAAGGGACCCTTCCCTAAGACATCACACACACACACCTCGAATGGATCTCCTATCATCATCATCTTTTCGCTCTCTCGCGCTCTGTCAAGTGCCCGAATGCTTAGTCTAACCTTAACTATCACCCTGCCCTATTTAGAAACAACTCCGCCATTTCCTGGTCCTGCCTGCCTCTAGTGGTTGATCTAGTTTTACTTCAATCAGCGAGCGACGTATTTACCCGCGGAGCCGCGGGCTTTTAGCACGACAAGATCACGCACTGTACTCGCTTGCATCCAATCTACCAACCCATCCATTCTCTCGTCCAAATCTGCATGCACTGACTGCACTGGACCGACGGGAATAGTGCTTGTACGGTATCTACGTACCTAGGCACCTTGCCTCGCCTGCTTGCTCTTGTTCTGGCCTGTTCAGCTTGTCTCTTTGGCTCCACTCAGCCAACTTTGGACGTTCTTTGCTGGCTGGGAACGGATGGGCCTTGCTTCCATTGCATCTTTCCAGTTTAAAGTCCCCTGCACAGGCTTGTTCGCTAGTGTCTCTTAGCGACCTGCGCTATCCATACGCTAAGGTACTTACTTGTCTACGGTCCTGGGTCTGCCTCTTCAACGGCTTCTGCCCCCGGCCTCTCGCTTCCTCGCTTCCCCTTCTTCTTCTTGTTCACTCCCCCCTACTCGTTCATACACTTGTCCAGAGTACCTACCTACCTCACTCCTCCTCCTCTTCCTCCTTCTGGTCTAATTCTCGTATGTCGCGTTGAGGTCTCGCTTTCTTTCTCTTCACCTCGACAAGGTCTACCGTCTTAAATCACGGTCGTCGCCCTCCGTCCGTGAATGAATTGACAAACTAGAATACACTCGCACGCAATTTCCATACTGAACTTTACGCTGCCCGACCCGATATTTTTTAATTAACGGGCGTCTCACATTGAGGGTGAGTTCCCTGCCAGAAGCCAACCAACCATTCATTACCTCCCAACGGCCAAAACCCTTCTTTCAACCGTTTGAACAATTAACTTGTTTAATACCAATCGAGTGGTTCTGTTCGCTTGCATGACCGCTCGGCCCGTGTGATTCAACTGTCAACCGTCGATTTGGGTCTCAAACTGACAACATCTGATTGATAGGCTTGGCTTGACTTTACTTCAATTCTCAATCGTTCTCTTCATCAGCGCGTTCTTACACGCGTGATTAATATTCAATATGGCTACACCATCCTCGATTCCTGCTGAGCCAAAGCGCGATGTTGTCAACAGGATTCACAGAGTTACAAGAGGGAATCGCAGTCTCTGGTATCAGATGACTGTTCTGCAGCAACCTGAGCGTGCCCGAGCCTGCGGTTCTGGTTCAAAAGGTAAGCTGACTGACATGAGAATGGGGGCTTTGATTGCACGCTGGCGTCTTGTCTCTCATTCTTGTCACCTACTTTCCGTGCTGACCATTTATAGCCAACAGTGATCGCCGACCTGTTGATCCTCCCCCCGTTGTCGAGCTTCGGATTATCGAGGGACCTAGTGTGGAAGAGGGCAAGGACATCACGTTTGACTACAACGCCAATTTCTTTCTGTATGCCAGTCTCGAGCATGCCCGTCCGCTTGCGCGCGGTCGGGTTAATACTCCAGCTGCTGGTAACCCACCCATTCTGACTGGTGTTCCTGCTTCTGGCATGGCCTATCTCGACCGTCCCACTGAAGCTGGTTATTTCATCTTTCCTGATCTTTCTGTCCGCCACGAGGGCCTTTACATACTGACCTTCAGTTTGTTTGAGACTACCAAGGAAGAAAGAGACTTTGATCTGGAACCTGCCGATGGCGATCTTCCACCCGGAGTCGACTACAGAATGGAAATCAAGACCGACCCTTTCAGCGTCTATAGCGCTAAGAAGTTTCCTGGTTTGATGGAGAGTACCCAGCTCAGCAAGACCGTTGCTGACCAGGGCTGCCGAGTTCGAATTCGACGAGACGTTCGTATGAGGAAGCGGGAAAGCAAGCCTGGTGCTGGTAACAGCAACAGTGGTGGAAACGGGTTCGAACGTGGGGAAGAGGACTTTGGTCGCAGAAGGACTATCACTCCAGCATCAGAAGACCCCCACAGTATTCGAAACCGATCTCACAGTAACTCGAGCGAACAACGAACTCCTTATACCGACGCTTCTCGCCGGCCTTCGATGGTGGATTCTTATCCACCCCCACCACCACCTCCCTCCTATGAGCCTGCTCCTTCTGCATCGCGTCATCTCGACTTTGGAGATTCTTCGGCTGCTCAGTACCCAACACCACGACAATATGCTCACCAACCTGGCCTGCAAATAACGCCCGGTCCTCCCAGTGGTTCTTATGCTCCTACAGCTCAGTCTCCATACTCCAAGACGGATGCGCCTTACGGTTACGTCAACCGTAATATTCCTCCCTCGTGCCCTTCACCAGCTCCCTCTGTTAAGCACGACTTGTATGACCGCAGACAATCTACCAGCACCTACGTTCCACCTTCCCCTTCAGTCTACTCTACCGAAGGCCACCATCGCCGAGACTCGCGGCCGTCATACCCCCCCACGCCAGTTGCTGCACCTCGTCCTCGACCTATGCACAGCCAGACTTCCCTCCCGGCTCTCAAGATAGACCAGCTCGTCTCTCCTGTTTCCCCGCTACCTCCTATTGAGCCACAGACTGGTCCTGCTCCTGAACTACCTCCTATCAATGTTGGTGGCAAGCGCAAGCACGAGAGCGTCTTCGCCCAGAGCACCCGTCCGCTCCACAATGGTCAGCGACAAGTGGATCCTCACTACGGTCGATCTCACCGTGGTTATAGCCCCGATCATGACCAAGGCTGGTACTCTCGAGCCGATGGTCAAATCAGCTCCGTCCAGTTCAACCGGTATTATGACGAGTAGATACCTACAACTTCAGCCTCACTGGAAAAGTATCGATTCTGGCGTTCTATTGTTGTGTATTTCTATCTATTAGGCGATTTTGGAATGACGGAAGACGCATGAAACCGCAATGTTGAGGAGTTCGGGCGCAATTATGTGAATTTTGAAGTCTGGGGAATGGCAGACTTGTTGGACCCGGATTATTTCATCCCGCAAAGATTTCCTTATGCAGAATCATTCTTGGGTACGAAGGATTTTGTTAGCAATGATCACAAACGATCACCCACTACGACGCTATTTTTCTTTATCATTATTTACATTGATCCACCTTTACTACATTGAATATTGGTCCTACTGAGACCTCTACTTGCGTTCCTCTCTTTTACTTTCTGGTTATTCTATCTCGCTTCACAATCTGCGACGTTTGTCTAGGATAGTGTGACTTGACTTGGAGTGACAACTGGGATACCGGGGTAAACTCGAAACAAAGACTTCATGGATGAGGTTGGTAGCACACGACGATAGATTTTATCCATGCAAGTCCTTAGTAGGGAAGCGGGATGTTGTCTGGGGTTTTGGGAAAGGGTTTGGTATTCAACAGGCGTTATCACCAGCAACCATATCGTTCATTGATTCATGCCGTATTTGGTCCAGTGTCATGTGAAGCATATGTAGTTACCAATCTGTAGGTGCGGAAGATTAGAAGGAAATTCTCGACCAGTTATCCATGTCTAGCTTGTATAGTCGGATCGACATAACTTGTGCATGCTCCACAGACTTATTCTTCTGGAATTTAAATTCGCTTTGGACAATCGAGACCAGCACTGATGGAATGGATGAGCAGCTTGGCAGGAATAAGATGTGAATATAGTTGTTCTAGCTCAACGGTGGAATTATGCCAAGTCACAAGCTAGGGGAGGAAAGAAAACACAGAACCTCAATCCTAAATGATAAAAAGACTTAGGTAATATAGCCTAAGTTTAGGATAATTTTTATTGAGTCTATTTTGACACCCTACAGCGAGGTTTACTGTTTTCTTGCCCCCAAGGGACAAGGTAATTTATGCTCCAAGATCACGTTTCCAAAGCTGAAATCGACGATTCGAGTTCCTCGGCCCCTTGTTCGTTTTAAACAAAGGAAATTAAATCTCCGTTTCGGTAACTCCTCTGGAGCTGTATTTCCACTTTTGGCTTCCCGACGATTAAAGTACCCTTGTACCTCCTTCCATTCCATGTCAGTGCTCTCGCTACTGCTGCAGGTACGTTGCATCCCCGCTCCTTCTTGCTCGTTGCTGTGGTGAAATCACGTGTACTCCAATGTCAACAAATCCTCCGCTTTCTAAGGTATCCAAGTTACCTTACTTACCAGACCAGACCGGCTCTACGCCTTTACAGATGCGTCTTGTTTGTTCAGCCACCTTTTCACTCATCCTGTAAACTCGTCATGCTGTGTTGAGTTTAAACCTTCAACGTTTTTCCTACCCGTACCCATCGTTGAGGGGAAAAAACGACGTACTCGTGCTTAAGACTGTATCACAACTTATACGCCATACGCATACAAAACCTTCCCAATGGGTCGGCCAAAAAGTCGACGCGCACTCAGTGCGAGTCGATTTCAGGAAGGCTCTATGAATGATAGGACTTCTGCTGCGCCCCCAGTGCACTTTCTGGGCCCTGAAGAGCGCGCTGCTCTGGAGCGACCTGCTCTGACGAACATCAAATCCAATAATTCGCGACCGATGAGCGATGACTTCTCCGATAAGCAGGTCAAGCGAGGAAGGCTTCTGGGTCAAGTCTGGGATGAGGTGAGAGGCAGACTGGGATTTAAGAGGGATAATGAAGAAGAGAGAGGGACAAGGAAGAGGTCGAGGAGCCGTAAGCGAGATCAGTCTGAACAACGAGGCAGACAAAGGGAGAGGGAGAATGGTTCTAGAGATGGACCTGTGGAGCTGAAGACCGCTGAAGACACTCCCAGGGAGGATATGCCCAGCCGAGAAGAGATATTGGCCAACTATCACAATTTGATGGCTTCGGGTTTCTTCTCGTCTCATGCTATTCAGTCAACTCGACAGCCACCTCCCGGTTCTATTCAGGCCTCACACCACCTATCTGCCCCCCCTCATCCGACGTCTCTTAGAGACGCTTTATCTCGAGCCACCGCACCTCAAGATGGTATTCCTCGGGCCCCAAACTATGATGCACCTTCACCACCCAAGTCACCTACCAAGATCAAGCACTTGCAAAAATACCACTTACGCCCCGATGGTCCAGGAGCCGCTACTTATGAAGAGCTCGTTGCATCTGGGTTCTTCACACCTCCAATCTCTGACAGTGCTCCACCACCAACTCCCATTGGAGCTGCCCCAGCCCCAACTGTTTATACCGGTCGTATGTCGCGAGACTATCTTCAGCCGCCTCGACAGACCAGAGGATCTCGAGCAGCAACGCCCTCAGCTTCTCGTGCACCTTCTCCTATTCGATCACCTGCCAGCGCCTCCTCCCGAGGAACAAAGCGCGCAGCAGCTGACTCAAATTCTGAGGACGAAGAGGAGAATCCATCTCGTGACCCTCCAACCCCAAAGAAGAAGTTACGTAAGTCTGCTTCTCGAGATATCACCCTACCGAAACTGCGAAATGTCGCTTCTCGCCGCAACATGCTCTCATCACGACGTAGTGTGTCGGGGCCTCATGGAGCTAGCAAGGAGTATAACACACTCGCTCGCCGTGTCCTGGGCCGTCTTCCTGGAGGCGGTGGTCGAGGCTCCCTGGACATCGACCGCCGGCCAGCTTCTGCTTCTAGAAGGAGCACCGAAGAGTCTAGACAGCCACTGCAAGAGGTTCAATATACGCGAATCCTACGTTCGCGAAAGAGCGCTGCGGAAGGACTCAGCGTTGTACCAAATGCTAACAGGGGCATTCCAAAGGTTCCTAATATTCCTGAAAAGTTTGCCGCCTACGATGAAGATGCTGAGAACACGGCTCCAGCAATTCGCTCTCGTTATTAGTCTGATGTTGGCGTCTTTGACTTTTCACTATATTGTTAACATACAACAGCACGCGAGACACATATGGACAGCGGATAATGTTAGTGGTGAGATGGAAGCATGAGCTCAGAAGCTCTGCAGCGGCGGATCGAACGACTCTTGACGCAGCCACGACCTTGTTTTTGTTTCTGGGACTTTTACGAATGAATTACTCTTTGTATATTCTCGTGGGGGATATCCATGATGACATGCGACATGATTGATTTTCTGATGTCTCCTCATCCGTTGGATAGAGGCTTCCTGCACTTGGGATATCGGTTGGGAAGGGTTATAGGTTTTGATCTTGGGGGAAAATGGGAACAGTGGTGGATTACGGTCCTTGTCTGATAAGTAGCCTGCGCTCTTGGGATCAAGGCCGACGGAAGGGTCACGGCGTTGGGAGTATATGTATTAATTAACGATTGTCCCATGACATGATGCCTTGTGTGTGATGTATCGAAGTAGATTAAGTGAAGATGAAATACACAGGCAATATTGCAAGAGTGCCCTACCTATATGAGGCCTTCGTGTGTTTATTGGGATCACAAACGTACACAATGAAATCTGATAGACGACCAAGGGATATCAATCAATTAAGCCAGTTCATTTGTGCCTTTTCGATTATACCTATATACATATACAGTCTCCTTACATTCCACCAAAATCTCAACCACTTCATTCACCAGAGGTCCATAACCAGAAAACATCAATACCTCATATTTCCTAATCACCCATCTGCCCGAGAGACTTCCCATAGTTGTGTGTTAGAACAGTTGATGAAACCCGATTTCAAAGTCCACCTCTATTGCCCGTCCAAGTTCATCTCAGGAAAATTTGCTCAAGAAAAGACTCTCTGTTCGTATCGACCCGCCGCGCGCTTCGTAAGTCTGATGGAAATCTCCAAGTTCCATCCCAAGTTGGTCGCATGGAATATCATGTAGCACCCCCGGAAGATATAATAGTTCTGTGTACGCTGGGACCCAACAGGCCTGAACGAATGACAATAGTGTAAAGGAGAAACATGTTGTATCGGTCATAAGTGGTAAAACAAATAATAAACGCCCAATCCGTAGAAGAAATAAATACGCTTTGGGATTGTGAACAAGTGATGAGGAACACCATCATAAATCATCAAACTTCAATACCTTCAAGAACCCGCTCTGGTAGGTTTTGTTGAAGTAGTTGCTGTGTTTTGGTGAGCCCGTTCTGATACAGTGAGCGAACAAAAGCCCAGGCAAACGTGAAGAGCCAAGGGAAGTAGCTATATAGCATGCCGCAAATCATTACGAGGAGGAGGGGGATCTGTATCTTGGTTAGTTCTGGGATGCATGTTAAGATAGACTTGGAGGTGACTTACCCAGATGAAGAACAGATTGTGGTCACTGCTAATCCTCTTCATCTTGACTTCATGTGCTCGGCGGAATTGCTCTTGCTGCTCCTTGGTGATGGCGTTCTTTCGGCCAATTTTGAGGACCCCTGGCTCTTCAGTCTTGATTTCAGTCACTTCAGTGACTTCGGTAATATCAGCCGACTCGGTTTCAATAGATGTGGTCTGGTCGAATAAGGCCGCGCATTTTTGATCAGCCTCAGCCTCCACAGCAGCTCGGGCAGCTGACTCATGCTTTTGGTCAAGGCTTTCCTGGGGGAAGATCTCCTCGTAAGCCGGAGGTGCTGGCGCGGCTGCCTTGGAAGACGAATCCCACCAGCGCTGAGGCTGCTCGCCATCAGCACGGGGACCTGCCATACCTGGCATCAACTGCTGGACTCGTCGCATGAAGGGTGCTTGGTAGCCCGGCATGTTAGGCAATGCAGGCATTTGAGGCATCTGTGGGAAATGTGGGAAATTCTGGAACTGCATAGCAATCGACTGTTGGAACTGCTGGAATTGGTGGACTTGTTGCTGGAACTGCTCCTTGAGAGCAGCCATTGTTGTAGCAGGTGGTGCAAGTTCCTCCTCCATTTCGCTGGTCTGCTGGCGGCGAAGATTGGGTCTCTCACGATCTTGCCTGAAGCCACTGGGCCTTCTCATGCTCAAGTAGGAATCCTCATCGGGATCCTCATCCTCGAAATCTCCCGACGTGTACTCCGGGCTCTCTTCGCTAGAATCAGATGAGATTGGCTCTTCGTGACTGTGTATCTTAGTCATAGGCTCCCAGAGCGATCGGAGCGAAGTGGCACTGCTGGCTCGGCTGTGAAGAGAACCGGAGCCACCGCTGCTGCGGGATCGGGCATGTCGCTGAGAACGGCGGATAGCGTGGATTACAGCACGCGACTGAGCAATATCGGAGGCGGACAGTCCAGACACGCTTCTGATGGTGGGGTCGGCACCGTTAAGCATGAGCCTTCTAACGATCTCAGGGTGGTTGTGGATCGATGCAATGTGAAGAGGTGTGAAGCCACCCCTATCTCTAGCATCAGGGTTTGCACCTCTGGCCAGCAAGGCTGCAACTAAGCGATGATAGCCTAGCGAACAAGAGAGGTGAAGCATAGTGTGACCAGTGGGTCTCTTGAGATCCAGGCGAGTTCTGTGCATACTGTCATCGAGGTCAATGAGGTCCAGGCACTTTAGGAGCTGAGATTCGAGATGAGCATAAGGGGCATGGCTGAACATGGCTCCACCCGATGAGGAACCACCCTGAGCACCATCAGAACCGCCAGACCAGTGGCTTCCATTTCCGTTATCCAGAATTCTTCTGGCGACATCCATGGCATCAATCATTTGACCCGACATCTTATGCCCCAGTACAGACAGAGCAGCTCGAATCAGCTTGTCCTCGCCATCGTCCAAGTAATTGAAAGTAGGCGGCTGTTTGGCTGTGTTTAAGAAAGCTTGGCCGGCCTGAGGGTTCTGATTCTTGAAGGTGACCGGCACAGGTCCAGGGCCAGGAGCAGGTGGCAGTAGACAGACAACTGATGATTCGCCCCAGAACGTAGTAGTCGTGGCTTTGTGGTTGCCAAACCAGATTTCGAGCCCCTGGAAAAATGCAGCACCCAAAACTGTCACTTCAATACCTCCCACTGTAGGACCCTCATTGGGAATGATCTTATGAATGACCGGAGGTGCTCGAAGTGGCGTCATGCCTGTAGGCACACTGAAGGTGCTGGCAAGTGCCTGGGCAAATTGGTTCTGGGGGTTGCCAACGATACTGTTTCGAAGGCCATTGGGACTGGGAGCACGGCTCGGGTGTCCTGAAGCAGGTGCTGAGTAAAGTTGCGCCATAGCCATATTATCCATACTCGCGGAGCGGTGATTGGCGTAGAATCCTGGTAGCTCGTTGCTAGGTGTAGGAGGACCTGTGGTGAAGGCCATTGCTTGCTGTCCAAACATCGGATCGGCTTGAGAAAAGGCAGCGAGGCCAGGTGTAAAAGGAGATGTAGCATTAGATAGCTGATTGACATCCGCGCCCGGAGAAGGTGACGTATCCAGGCGGGTCATGGTAAGTCCATTGGGAACTCTCGAAGCGCTGGACTTTCTCTTCTTTGCCATTGGGCCACCAAGAGTAGGCGAAGCTGGGCGTGAGAGTGTCCTGCCGAGATTACCAGTAGACGAGGCTTTAGATTGGTATGAGGCCTGGCTGCTTCGATGCATATTCGACAAATCGCCGTTAGATGGCGACATGCGGAAGGGTCCATTGGCAGTAGGTGGTAGAAGGACGTTGTTCTCAGTACTTGCTTGGGGTACGGATGACATGGGAGGCTCCGGAATCGCTGGCTGCTGAGCCGCGACCTGCGCAATCGGGTGAGTCTTGTGGTCGTCAGTGATCATAATTGGGTTAGACATGGCCTGAGCGACGACTCTGTCTTGGAAATCTTTAATGGTGAAGATAACATTGAATCCCATCTTTTCTCCATGGTGTCGACAATAGCAAGCAATGCGCATCGCAGCATCAACCTGCATGGTACCCTCGGGAACAGTTGACTCCATGACGCCGCTGGGAGGTTGCCAATCCTTGACTTCTTGTGTGTTGAAGACAATGACACGGCGCTCTTCGTCTTCCAGCCAGACCTTCTCTTCTTCTGGCTTCTTGATCTTTTTCCGAGCCGCGCGCTTTCGCTCTCTCGTTATGCAGCCCGGGCAAATACGTACATCGCCGCCTTTTGGTTGAGAACCGTTGTTGTCTGGCAGAGGCGGAAGATAGCCTTGAGGGTGTGATGCCGCTCGTTTGAGCGCGGCTTCTTTGACGCCAGGCTCATCCATGGCACTCGTGCAAACTAATGAGACATGCAACTCGAGCATGTCCGGAGACTTCTCAGGCGTTGGCTTCGACAACAGCTTAGGCTTTGAGATGGTGTGGGGTGGCAGATGGAGTTTGGTGACCCCAGGCGGCAATGGCCACAGGGTCATTTTGATAGGGATCTGGGTCTCGACCCTCGATTTGAGAGGCGTAGGCATGATTTTTAATTGGCATCGTCCATTGAAGTTGAATTGTGTGGGCAATGGCATCTGCTGAGGCATAGGCATAGGCTGGTTCATCTGACCGCTAAAATGCATAGGCAAGCCGTCGGGTACAGGTTGCGCTGCCACGTCGATTTTGTTTGGCCACACATGCTGTGCTCCCACTCCTCCATTCACAACTCTGGAGAAATCAATTTGAGTATTGGGTGAGGGAGAATTAAAGAGAGGCGCTGGAGAACTGCCATGGCTCAGCACCATATTGGACATTGGCGAAACCTCTCGTGATGCTGATGTTTTCAATCCATTCATTGCTGAAGACACCGAGTATTGCTTCAAGTTCGTTAACAAAGGGCTCGTTTGGTTGAAAAAATTGTGCGATGAACATACTGAAGAGGCTTTCTGGTGACCCTGTGCTTTCTTCCTCTTTGGTGTTGCATCTTTGATAGTGGCTTTCGTGCTGACTGTGGGCATCTGAGATGTGAGAGCTGGTTGCTCTGTATTCAAGCCTTCTGGGCTACTAGAAGCGGTGTCCATATCGTAGGGGTGCTCGAGGATAGACTCTCCAGGTTCGCCAAAAGGGTACATT